TGTGTGGGGCAGGCGATGAATGTAATGGCACATAACTGTTGAGTGTAATGGTTGTAACTGAGACTAGGGACCCTATCTAATGTGGGAGGCTGAAGCAAGTCACATGCTCACAAGTTACAAAGGTCAAATGCTTATGGGCATATGGGGAATCTCTTTTTTTTTTCCTGTCTTGAGCAGATATAAATTCAGGCAAGTCAGGTTCAGATTAAGCTTTCTTGCAGAGAGTTTCACTACTGTCATGAGGAAGTGGCTGGTTACAGGTTCGGATTGTCTTGTCTCTCTCTACCTCTGAAATCCACTGTTCTGTTCATATGGTTCTGCTCAGTCTGAATGAAACAGTCTCTGAAACAGATTTTATACTCTCTCTGTTGCTTTGCGTCTTTCCATAAAGTTCAGCTTTGTAGTCTTGTGGATACCTTGGTGTTCAATCTCACTACAGCCTTCTTTTCTGCTCCCTATCGTCTTCTGCTGGAGGAGCTTGTAGATCAATTTTCTAACACGGTGTAGATGACATGTTCACTGTGGCTCAGAGGATTATGAAACAGTGCCCCCCCCCAACTTGGACTGACTACCCCTTGTATCTTAATGGCCACCCCTTTTTATTATCATTTGTATGTCTGAGAGAACTACACAATCTGCAGTTAACTAAAGGCAGAACAGTTTCCCCTTGCTCATTCATCTGCACACTGTGTATTGACTGGCTCAGCAGCTCCTTGCCCCTCTCTCTCTCTCTCTCTCTCTCTCTCTCTCTCTGTGTGTCTCTTTTCACAACCTACCATTTGTGAACAGCATCCCCTCTTTGTGTTTGTTTTTAACACAGTGCTGTCAGTCATGGATATTCACCTCTTCTGTTAAGTTATTAGCAAACTAGTAAGGATGGTAAATGGGGGGGGAATCTACTGGCCAATATAAATTGCCTTTTTGTGTTACATGCACATTTCCTTCAGGATTCTACAGAGATAAAATGTGACACAAATGTAAAGAAGTCAGTGGAAAATCTGAAACAAAATAAACATATAGCCTATTAATGAGCAATAACAATAAATTTAAAAAACAAATTTAATACAACTCGAAGTCTTTTTTTTTTTTTTTGCACATTCCATGAATTCTGGTCTCCTGTCTGTATTGGAGTGTGGCACATGTACATGTCTGTGTTCTATGAGACGTGCCTCTACTCGTAATGGCTATGGTTATGGTCAGATGATTGGTTAGACACTACAGCAAGCAGAATACAGGCACAGGCAAATGGAACACAGCTTTAGTGAAGTGTCCCCCATTGTCATCAGACTGCTTGACCAGATCCCACGATACAATTGGTCTCTCTCGCTCTCATGCTCTCTCTCTCGCTCTCTGAAATGACTGGCCATACATGTTAGTGTTGTACATATTTAATAATAATTAAGTTGCATCTCATATTGTCAGCTACTACATTTCATTTTCCACTGTAGTTCTCACCTTACAGGTCCATGGACAGAGCCTACGCATCATCACACCATCCGAAAATGAAGACATAGATTACATGACTAAATATTAAAATGACCACCATGGTAAATACACTTAAGCTATTAAATATAACAACTCTCAGTAGAGTAAGTGCTGCCTCACACTGAGATCTGCCTTCAACAGAGCCGGCTCGGGTTGAAATGCTGTGCTGAGAAAATGTCCTTTCATTCACATTTTAGAATAGAATGAATGTATAGCCAAGTATGTTACACACACAAGGAATTTGTTTTTGGTACAGAACCGATGGCAGCCATCTGCGGCGCCAACCCTGCGGCTCTAACCATCGGTTGAGCAACGGGGGTTCAATGTTTTGGACACTAGGACACTTCGACACGTGGACCGCCGGCACCAAGATTCGAACCTCCAACCTTGTGGTTGGGAGACAGCTGCTCTACCCACTGCACCACGGTCACTGCCCCAAAGACATTGGCAGCGGTTACTTTATTTGTAATGTCATTGCAGCAAGATTTCACTTGTTTTTCTGATGAAGGGTTAAAATAATTGGTCATGGTGAAAGTCTTTTCCAGTGTATTTTTCAATGTGTTGGTATCTGGAGGAGGGAGTAGTTACCTCTGCAGAGACACTTAAGCACTTCACCTAAACCTTTCTGTGGTAGGGAAAACCCTGCATTTAGCACTGTGAATACCATGGCAATGGAAACATCATATTGCAATTCATTACACG